TTTATTTTTTTTTTTATCTGGGTTTGTGTGTTTGCTTTGATTTTGGTTAAAATTTTGATACTCTGGAATTTAGAACCCAATGGTTTGTTCGTGTAGGAGAAGACAGAAGATCTTCAACCAATCTGTCTCGTAACTTGAAATTTCTGATCTTTCTTTTACCAATAAATAAATAATAATACAAAAATTAGTTTATACTTGTAAAATAAACGAATCTGTAGTTGCAATTTTGTTCAATTAAAGCAACGGCCTTCTGGATGGTCATTAGATGTAAAAAATAATTAAAAATGAGGAAATTCATTTTTCCCTCACACTGCTAGATAAATAACGTTTTTACTCCACAAAATGCGAACTAAATTATACGATAAATTATGCAACACAAGAGACGGAGATAACAGATAAAGTTCGAAATATTTATTTGACTAATAAGGTGTGAAATATTTATACGAAAAGTTGTGCGATAGACATACGGATATAGTTGATAAAGTGCGAAACAAATTATGCGATGCACTATGCGACAGACAGACGAAGATATTTGATAAAGTTCGAAATGAAATATGATATGCGACAAACAATTAATAAATTGCGAACAAGCTTATGTGATATACTATACGACAACAAGGTGAAAACAATTGATAAAGTGCAGAACAAGTTATTCGATAAACCATGAGACAGAAATGCAAAGATACTATGCGACCACGCGAGACAACTCGACCATCGACGAGACGCGCGAGACAGCTGGACCGTCGCCAGCGACCTGAGAATCCCACGTGGTGCTTGAGGCGCAATAATGGCAGGCGTGTCTTGAGGGGCAAGTCGGCCAATTTTCCTGCTTTATCTATTATTATAATTCCGGTTTTGCTATAAAGCCAACAGTTGGCTCCATAGTGGAGCCAACCTTTCATATACAACGAATAAACCTACCATATTAATAAAATTATATTAGTGTTATTTAAGTAATCAGAAAATATGGTAAGTTTACTTGTTGTATATAGAAGACTGGTTCCACTATGAAGTCTACTGTTGACTTCATAGCAAATCCGATTATAATTTTGTTTCTAATTAGCAACTTTTTTTTGACTATTTTGGCAATTTCTAAGACCATAGATATTTACCTTCCTCAAAATTAGTTTTTCTTTTATTTAAATATCCTATGCAATCATCTTTGATTTCATTAAGCAAATAAGAAATAACAAAACGCTCTTTCGAGCCAAAAAAAAAATAAAAAAAAACTCGCGTTAACCAAGACTGTTAGTGCGGCTTTCCAGAAACACAAATCCACGATATCCAATCTTCATCAGCCGCATCCAAAATGATACTAACTGCAAAAGATTATTATTTTCCTTTTGTATTATGTAGATATTATTTAACAAGATTCCTTCCCTTGTATAATCCTACATATAGTAGGACACACATTTATATATTTTCTTCATTGTATTGAATGAAAAGATTACTTTCAACATATCAATTGTTCTCACTTTCTACATATATATACATATATTATTAATTTCATTATCTTTTGTGAGTGTGCCATTTATGGTTAGGAATTACAAGTCAAATGATGAGATGTTTGTAAGATAGCTGGATATTTTAGGTCACATGAAGTTGGATCATATCAAATTAGACCCTACATCATTTTCTAGTCTCTTGTATGACTTCATATATAATACGAAATGGACATAATTGTGTTACATTTTTATATATTTGTATGCTGGAAATGGAATTCAAAGCAAGCACAATCAAGTGGCCAACAACCAACCAACCAATTAACCTAAGTTTATTATTAACATTTATTATGCAAATAAGTATATGATTTAAGAAGTATTTTCATTTGAAACTTCATTAAAGTTCTTTTGTGTGTGTGTTTGTCACATCTGCTTCACTTTTGTATGACCACTTACCAGCTTTATTTATGAACAGTGGATATTCTTATGTAAAGTGCGATCAACTGTGTTAGAACACTGAATATTTGAAAATTTTCAATTTGTATTGTAACAGCGGAAGCACAAAACAAGAGGGTAAAAAAAACTCTTCGAGATCCCACTATTTCTCGGAGATCTTACATTAATAAATCGATTGTGCGTTCGTGTATAGTTTGGACTTAAAAAACTAAAACTTCCTTCTAGCCTAGCCACAACTACATTAGATTCTATCAATTACTTGTTTGGACGTCCTGTGGACTTTACACACTCGAATCCCTCGATCAAACCCAATACTTAATTCCTAAATACTAAACACAAAATGCCTGAATAAAATATGAAAAACTAAACAAAAAAATCTTCAGTTCTTCGATAGCGTAAGAACATCGAAAGCCTAAATATTAAAACAAACAAAACTACGAGCATTATTTAAACTCTCAATTTAAGCTTGAATAAAAAGAGAAATGTTATATGTACATACTATTGTACATATGGGTGTACGTAACACTCACATTCAGTGGGACCCAACAAAGATAAAAAAATTAGTGGACCCCACTCTATGTGAGTGTTATGTACATCTCTATGTACATTTATTACGTACTTGTAGCATTTTACGAATAAAAATACCTTTGTTGATAATAAAAAATATCTTTCATACAATGATTAAAGTACTTGTATCTACTAACACAGTATGCTCTCTTACCTACGGTAGGCACATGTTAATATGTCCACCGTTTATGTGGTATGCACATATTGGTGATGTATTTTTTTAAAATATTAACATCACCAATATATGTATGCCACATTGGACTTATTAACATGTGTCCACCGTGGGTAGAGGAACATTACTGTCGACTGACAATACTTAAATTATTGGTTCAATATAAATATTGTTTCTATCATGAGACTCTCCTATTTTTTTTTTTTCTAAAT